GATTTCTTCTCCTCTCAGGATTTTGGGCATGCACACTTGGCATGTTTTTCAAACCACCAGGTCTAGGATTTAAACCGCTCAGTTGGCCAGGTGGGATCCAGCCATCTCACCTCCAGGCCACCTGCTGGTCTCCATGGCACATTTAAAGCGGATTGTTCCTTAAAATCACCTTCATTAAATGAGGCAATTTGGGTTGATGTGTGGTATCACAGAACTCTTCATCAGCTGTAAAAATAGCTCAAGCTCCAATAACACTTGGAAAATGAATAATCTGTTAACTACTCTTGTCAAGGCAAAAATTAGGTTATAGGTCTCAGACTCACCAAGAACATGATGTCTAAGCTATTAGGATTTGATAAATACATTTCTCTGCCTTTGGGGAATTTTATTAGTCCAGAGATCTGATTTTGGGATAAGAACTTGCAATTTAAAGATAGAATTCTTTGATTACTCCAGTTTAAAGAAAGGAGTCACTTCTTATTTTCATTTGCAGAGTGAGATTAATGAGATTTGAAACCAGCTTAACTCTAAAAGGAATTGTTAGGGCGATTCATGTCACAGACTAAAAAAATTCATAGACTTAAGAGAATAAGTGGGTAGAAAAGGTTTATTCATTTTCCAAGGGAGGAAAGAGGCAAGATGCAGAGAGTTGCATGGGCCTTAAATGATAAGGGTTACAGGCTTGTTTTAAATAAAGGGTTTGGGGTTAGAGTAATTAAGGTAGTCTTGAAACTGGATGCCAGCTGTTTTAATTAATTAATTAATTAATTCTATTTGTTATGGTTATTATTTCATTTGACCAGGGAGAGAGAGAGAGAACGGGAAAGCAGGAGAGCAAGCTGCTAGGTTGGGAACCCGAACCACGGTTGGCCATGTGGGAATCCAAAGCATTTAACTACCACACCACCTGTTGGCCCTGCCAGATGGTTTTTTATAGCATCTGGATTATGTCATTGTTATTGCTAGGTGAGTTAGCCACCTGTAGTAAAATCAAGGAGCCTCCCTTTCCTTCCTCCTTTTAGGTGAAACTATTCTCTGATCCCAAGGAATTCTCCAGTGGGGCACGTCTCCTTCCACTAGGACCACCTAGACTTGACCCTTTAATCCTTTCCCTCCTCCAACCAAGGGTACTCAAGGATGCTGGAGACTCTGCCTTCTCTCCAGCAGAGCACAAGATCAGAGGATTAATCTGTAAAAGAAAAAATGCCTGTGGCATCTGGGGAGCTTTGAATGTGCCATTCCCCTTAAAATGCCTAAGATATCTGTGAGAAATTAATAATCTGATGTGGGCAGTAGTGTCAAGACTATGAGAGGACTTCAAAAAGTTTATGGAAACATGAAATTAAAGTATGAGTCAAGGCCAGCAGGTGGCTTGGTGATTAAGGCACTGGACTTCCACATGGCCATCCACAGTTCAAGTCCTGGATCTGGAGGCTTGTTTTCTCACTTTCCCTCTGTCTCTCTCTATCCATTTTTCTGTCTGTGGTCAAATTAAAAAATATTAATATAAAATTAAATAATTTTTTAAAACTATGGGTGTATTTTGGTGTAAAATATTTCTGAAATCCATGCCGTTTTTTATGATAAGACCTTTTCCATGAAGTTTTTGGAGACTCCCCACACACATCCATATAAAAAATTCTTACAACTCAACCATGAAGAGACAATAAAAAATGGGCAAACATTTTGAAAACACATTTACCCAAGGAAGATATGCAAATGCCCACCCACATATGAAAAGATGTTACACCACTGGTTAGGGAAATCAAAATCAAATGTGAGGCTGGCTCTATGGTGCAGCGATAATCTGCTGGATAGGAAGCTGGATCTACAGGGCAACCAGTTCAAATCCTCAGTCCAGTCAGCCTGACATGCTGGACATGTGTATGAGTGCCCAAGATCTGATGGCTAGAGGACTGGAGGAGAGAGTGCAGCGTGATCAGACTTGTGACAGGTGCTCATCTCTCTCTCTCTTTCATGTATATGCACACACATTCTATCATGAATAAAGAAAAATACGTCCGCAATGAAATGTTACTTCATACCTACTAGGATGGTTATAATATGTATACATATTTTTTTTTTTAAAGAAGATAATAAGTATTGGTGAAGATGTGGAGAAACAGAAACGTTCATACATTTCTTGTTAGGAGTGTACAGTAATTCAGCCAATGTGGAACACAGTTCAGTGGTTTGTTAAAAAGTTAAGCATAGAATTACCATATGACCTAGCAATTCTACTCCTGGGTATGAGTGGAATAATAATTGAAAATTATTGAATTCAGAATAATTGGAATAATTGAAGCATACGTCAGCACAGAAACTTGTACACAAATGTTTATAGCAGTATTATCCATAATAGCAAAAAGGTGGAAGCAGTGCAATCAGTAGAGGACTTCATAAGCAAATTATGGTGAATACATACACAATTAATAGAATGCTATTCAGCTGTAAAATGGAATGAAGTACTGATACATGCTACAACTTAAATGAGGCTTGGAAACATTGTTAAGTGAGAGAAGCTAGTCACGAAGGTCCTATGTTGTATGATTCTTTTTTTCTTTACATTTTTGCCATAAGGTGGGTGTGCTTGATAGAGAGAGGCAAAGTGAAAAATCAACCCTCCAGATGTGATGGCCATGCCATAATTCCTTCTCTTCCATTCTCCTCTTGGTATTTTTGGGCACCCACCCACACGTGTCCTGTATGATTTTCAGACCTCTGAGTCTGGGACCCTAACTGCATTCAGCCATGTGGGAATCTAGTGCCTTTACCACCACACCACCTGCAAGCCCTCAAATTGTAAGATTTTTTTTTTTATTTGCTATAGAGCACATGTGCTTCCCAGAAGGAGAGACAAAGAGAAGAAAGCCCCCTGGGAGGGAATAGTGGCCATGCCGTAATCTCTCTCTCTCTCCTTTCGGGATTTCAGGCATGCATGCACATGCACCCAGGTGTTTGTCAAGTCTCCTGTTCTAGGGCTTAAACTATGCAGTTGCCCATGTGGGATCCAGTGACCTTAACCACCAGACCTACAGGCTGGTCCATATGTTTTTTTGTTTGTGTTTGTTTTTAAAAATTATTTTGGGGCATCAACAATTGGCGTAATGGCTATGTCGCTGGACTCCCATATAGTCAACTGTGGTTCAAGTCCCGGACCTGGTGGCTTAAATTCATTCCAGGCGCAGGTGTGTGCGTGTCCAAGATCCTGAGAGGAGAATAGAGAAGGGATTGCAGCAGCATGGCCAGGGTTGGGGGGAGATTTCTCGCTTTCTGTCTCTTTGTTTCTCTTTGTCTTTCTGGTGAGCACACAACCCTATAACAAAAGCCTCTCCAAAAGAAAGAATTATTTTGGGACCAGCAGGTGGTATGGTGGTTAAAGGTGCTGGTTTCCCACATTCCTGACCGCAGTTTGAATCTCGGACCTGGCAGTTTGCTTTTTCCCTTTCCCTTTCTCTCTCTCTGATCAAACAACAAGTGGAATTAAATAAATAATAAATTATTTTTAAAAATTATTTAACTTTATTTATGTGTTTATTTTAATTTGACCAGAGAGGGACAAAAAGAGAGAGAGAGAACACCACCAGGTCCAGGACTTGAACTGCAGTTGGCCATGTGAAAGTGCAGGGCCCTTAACCACCACGCCACCTGTGGCCTCCTCCTATGATTCTTTTTTACAATATGTCTAGAGTAGGCAAATCCAAAGAAGCAGAAAGCACTTTAGAGGTTACTAAGAGTGGGGATGGAGAATGGAGAACGATTAATTCATTGATGTGGAGTGGTGTTATGGGATGGTGGAAACAGTTAAAAACATTGTGTATATATGAAATACCACTGAATTATACATTTTAAAGTGGTTAATTGTACGTTATGTAAATTTTTCATTTCAATTTTTTAAAAAAGGAGGTTCATGAGTTCTACTTACCTTTTGCGCTTCGCAGAGGAGAAAGTTATAAAGTATAGGAAATGATGATGCCAGAAAAGGGCGACCCTGTAGGATGTGGTGACGTATCTGCATGTTTCCAGATTCATTTTTCACTCCTCTTTTTTGCTGAAAAGAATTATTCTTTTCCAAAATTAAAAAAAAATTATATTATTTTAAAATTTGCTGTGGAGCATATGTACGTGCATGAGAGAGAGAGGGAATAGGAGAGAGAGAAAGCACCCCATGGGGAAATGGCTGTACTGCAAGTCCTTCTTCATTTTCCCCTCAAGATTTTGGGCATGCATGCATGTGTACCTGGCATAGTTTTCAAGCTGCTGGGTCTAGGACTAGAATGTGCAGTCGGCTATGTGGGATCTAGTTGCCTTAACCACCATGGCACTGGCTGGCTGAAAAGTTTTAAATTTGGATGAAGTCCAGTGTGTCTGTTTTTTGTTGTTTTTGTTCATGTGTTTGGTGTCATATTGAAGAATCCACTGCCAGGATAAAGGTCACAAAAATTTTTTTTTTTTAAGAGGTTTTTGCCTTAGGGCATGTTAGCTTGGGGTGGGGGACAGAGACAGTGACAGGGAAAGTGAGAAATCACCCCTCCAGGGGGATGGCTATGCTGAAATCCCTTCTCCTCCATTCTTCTGGGATCTTGGGCACACATGTATACGCATCCAGTGTGATTTTCAAGCCACTGGGTCCAGGACTCAAACTGCAGTCGTCCATGTGGGAGTCCAGTGATGCAACTCCTATGCCATTGCTGGCCCTGCATATTTTTTATCTAAGAGTTTTGTGGTCTGGCACTTTTATTTACGTCATTGGTCCATTTTGAGTTAATCTTTGTATACAGTGGGAGGTAAGTGGCTAGTTGTTCTTCTGCGTGTGACTGATCAGTGGTTCCAGCATCATTTGCTGAAGAGAATATTCTTCCTCCATTGAATGGACTCGGCACCTGTCAATAGTTGGAAATCATTGTCTGTAGATGTATGGGCTTATTTCTAGGGTGTCAATTCTGTCCTTGCCATTTGCTTTTGTACAGGCTGAGTCTTTTTTCTCCCTTTGTTAACAGGATCATGGAGTTGATAGCACCATTTCATTTTCCAGCAAAAAGCTCCACCTAACTATAGGAATGTTGGTGCTTTTGAGTGAGCAGGAAGTCCAGCACAGCAGAGAGATGCTGCAGCGGTGTAAAGAGGAGTTCATTAAGTGAGTAATTTGTCCAGGACGTTCAACTGTGTCGGCTTCTTTTGCTATCACAGACTTGTGTTTGGACTAGAGAGCTAGATGATAAGAGAACAAGGTTTGTTGAGCCACCCATTTGGAGCATTGTTTGAAACATTTAAAATGGGTTTAAAGTAGATGTTTATAAATTTTTGTAGCTAGACTCTACTTTAGGGCTGCCCTGTGGTGCAGCAGTAAGTGCCATAGGAAGCCAGCTCCCACATGACTGATGGTAGTTCTGATCCTGGACACAGTGGCTTGAAAAACATGCAGGTGTGTGTTTATGTGTGCCCAGAATCCTGACAGGATGGAGAAATGGGGAAAGTAGGATTGCTTTGACCATGCACTACTGGGGAGTGTGCACTGTCTCTCTCACTCTCACTCTCTGGCAAGGATGCCTGACCTCTGGCAAAAGAAAAGAAAGATCATACCTTTAATAATACTAGTTCAGGGGCCAGCAGGTGGTGTGGTAGTTAAGGGTGCTGGACTCTCACATGGCCCACTGCAGTTCAAGTCCCAGACCTGGTGGCTTGTTTTCTTGTTTTCTCTCTCTCTCTTTTTCACTCTGTCCTTCTCTGTCAAATTAAAATAAATGAATAAATAAATAAAGTTAAATAAAATAATTATTTAAAAAAGAATACTAGTTCAGTAGGCAAGCTTTGTGTTTTTGTTTTTTTTTTTTTTTAGAGGTTTTCGCTGTAGGGCTCATGTGCTCAACAGACAGACAGAGAGACATAGAGACAGAAAGTGAGAAATCACCCCCCGGAGGGGATGGTCACGCCGCAATCCCTTCTCCATTCTCCTCTTGGAATCTTAGGCACGCATGCACGTACGCCCGGCGTGAGTTTTAAGCCACCGGTTCCGGGACGCGAATCGCGGTTGACTACGTGGGAGTCCAGCGACATAGCCATTACACTAACTGCTGGTTCCCACAAGCTTTGTTTTTAACTAGGACATTTCATTTTCTTTGACAGGAAATTCTCATTATCTATTTGAGAATATAGTCTACTGTATTAATTTTCTATGCTGGTATGAAACATTATTACAAGCTTACTGTTTCAGATATTCCAAACCTTTTTTTTTTTTTTAGGTTTTTGCCATGAGGTATGTGCACCCACCAGAGAGAGGCAGAAAGAAACAGAGAGAGGGAAACTGAGAAGTCACCCCCCCAGGGGAAATGGCCACGCTGCAGTCCATTTTCCTCCATTTTTCTCTGGGGATTTTGGACATGCATGCACATACACCCAGTGCATTTCTCAAGCCACCAGGTCCTGGACTCGAACCAAAGGGTTGACTATGTGGGATCCAGCGCCCTAACCGCCACACCACCTGCTGGACCCTGTAACAGTTTTATTTTAAAGAAGCAGCTCTTCCACTCTCTTCCTGTTATCCTTTTATTTGATGAAGAAGAAAAATTTGAAAAGGACTCACTAAAATAGTGTTTTCCTATTTTGTTAGTATTTACAGGCTCCATGCTATTCCAATTTGGCTTGTAGAAATGAGTTACCTAGTTCACTGGGTAGGACAAAGTAAAAGGATTTAAAATTGTTCATTAGTTGTGTTGTACTGAAACTGTGCAGTACAGTGACTCATTTGTGGGCCACTTATCCTTTTCTGTTAATTATTTTGAAGACAAGACATTTTTCTTGAGCAAAATCATAAGCTGATTGGGTTTGCAATCTGTCTATCCCTTCTGAATCTCAGAAAGCAAGGAATGATTCTTGTTTTTTTTTTAACTTAATGATAAACATATCTGTTTTCTCTCCATTTAACTAAAACTTAAAATAATTTGGCGTAGGACCAGCAGTTGGTGTAATGGCTATGGACTCCCATGTAGTCGACCGTGGTTCAAGTCCCGGACCCAGTGGCTTAAACTCACACCGGGTGCATGTGTGTGCGTGCCCAAGATCCTGAGAGGAGAAAGGAGAAGGGATTGCGGCATGGCCATCCCACCTGGGGGGCGATTTCTTTTATTTTTTTGGAGAGGTTTTTGCTATAGGGCGTGTGTGCTTGCCAAACAGACAGAGAGAGACATAGAGACAGAAAGCGAGAAATCACCCCCCAGGGGGATGATCATGCCACAGTCCCTTCTCCTCCATTCTCCTCTTGGGATCTTGGGCACGCACGCACACGTGCCCGGTGTCAGTTTTAAGCCACCGGGTCCGGGACGCGAACTGCGGTCAACTACGTGGGAGTCCAGCGACATAGCCATTACGTTAACTGCTGGTTCCTATGGGGGGTGATTTCTCACTTTCTGTTTCTCTCTCTCTCTGTCTTTCTGGCTAGTGCATGCACCCTATAGCAAAAACCTCCCCTCCCCCCAAAAAAATAATTTGGAGTTTGTCATTAGATATTTATAATTTGTAATTTTCCTCATGTAAAATAAAACTATAGGTGGCTAGCAGCAGGAGTTAGGTGCTGGACTCCCACATGGCTGACTGCAGTTCAAGTCCTGGGCCTGTCGGCTTGTTTTCTTACTTTCTTTCTCTCTCTCTCTTTCTTGTAAATATGCATGCCCTATAGCAAATGTAAAAATAATACTTAAAAATAAATAGATAATAATATAAAACTTTATGTGCTTAGACAGTGGCATAGCACAGCATTGCAAGGCTGACCCACCCCTCTGGTTCCAGGTTCGTGGAGACCGCTGTGGTTCTGCCAGGCACATATTTGCCTATGATCTGGGGCTGGCTGAGGCTGGGGTGTCGTAGTATCAAGGCTCTGTTAGAGATGGTATCTCTGCCTCTTGTTTATAGGAGAAATAAATTTTTAAAAATATAGAATAAAGCTTTATGCTTTATCTTTTATAAAGCAGGGCAATTTTACCTGGTTTAGGGATCAGTTCTGATACTTATTACCAGTTTACTTTTTGCTAAACTAAAGTGTAAACAGCTGCATTTTCTTGGCTGCCACTGGGATAATCCTGCTAAGAAAAAATTGAAAGGTAGATAAAATATTTGTTTAGAGAAGTGTTTATTCCTTTTACCTTATGAAAATCAGGTCACAGTTTTCTAATCATTGAAGCTTTATCCTAAGCTATGTGAACAGTTGGCTGAGTTCCTCCCTTTTATGTCTCTTGGTGCCTTTCATGACTAAATGCCAAATCTGAACCCTTTAAGCATGTCAGAGTTGGTGTGCACAGGGAATAAAGAGCAGTCTTAATAGTTCCTAAGAATTTCTGACATGACAGGATGAAAACAGTAATTGTAGTTTTTCAAATTCAGCAAAGCTTTTGAAATAGGACAAAGTTACTCTGCCAAAAATCTGCAGTGCATGCAAAAATGTGTTTAAAGATGCTCTTTTTTCAAAAAGCTGGAAAGATTTGAAACTAGCAAATAAAATAAAGCAAGCCTCCCCAACCCTCCTTCTTCCTATGTAATATGCACTTATTTAAAAAGTGTATAGTGCAAAATTAATTTGCTTCTGAGAAGAAGGATGAGAATCAGAATTTGTTGTTCGGATTCATTAGAGGTATCTTGTTTCCCTAAAAGGAGATGACTTTTCTTTGAAGGAAAGAAAAAGAATAAAAAGTAAAAGAGGAAAGAAATATACTTGTATTAAAACTCTGGTCAGTAAATTGTATCATCTAACCTTTTCTTCTTCCTTATTCTTGGTTCTTTGATCTCAGCCTCTACACTTGGTATACTTAGAAAGAATGTTAATAAAATAGTGGCATTTCTAATCTGATCCTTGTGTAGTATAAAGATCCTAATCAAAATAGGAAAAGGAAAACATTGAACATGAATAGATTAATACATAGTGTCCTATAGTTTAATCTGATGACTTTGTAAATTGAGGCATTAAAATCTGTGTGACTATATTGGAATTTGATTAAAACTGCAGTGCCGTATAGCTGTTTTAAATAAATGGATAGTTGAGTATTTTAAGTTTTAGGGTAGTTAATCATTTAAAGGATGTTGTCTGTTCAGAAATAGGATTTTCATTTCAATTCTTAGGCTGTAGACTCATGTAGCATTATAGATTTCAAATGAATTATTCAGTGTTTAGTAAATTCCGAAGCTCTAAAGGTGTCCCTTGTGACTTCTCTTTGTGAGATGTAGGACACAAACAGTGCAGTAGCTCTGAGTGTATAGTCTGACAAATATGCAGCACTTCGTTAGCTCCAGTATCATCCTCCTTGTGCCTAAGTGTTCCCAGTAGGCCTGAAGTCAAACCAAGTTAAGAAGTTTAAAAGAGACTAGAAAGAATAGGGAAGAGAAAAAAATACCTTTGAGCAAAGGTTAATTCCTCATCATTGCCTCAGGTGTCATTCAGTTGGGATATATGCTCACTGGTCCAAGGGATAGTTGGGCCACTAAGGCAGAACATTTATTAAACACACCATTGATTCTTCTCTTTAATCTCCTGCTTGATAAATCTTTTTTTTTTTTCCTTAGAAAAAGAAAAGGGGGCGTGTGCGCTTGCCAGAGAGACAGAAAGCGAGAAATCACCCCCCAGGGAGGATGGCCATATTGCAATCTCTTCTCTTCCATTTTCCTCTTGGGATTTTGAGCATGCACACTCATCTGGTGTGAGTTTTAAGCCGTCAGATCCAGGACTCAAACTGCGGTCAACTACATGGGAGTCCAGCCATCTGCCGGTCCCTTGTTTTTTTAAATTTAGTTGCCAGAGAGATAGAGAGAGAGGGAGAAAAAGAAAGCACCCTCCAGTGGAGTTTGATCATGCTACAATCCTTTCTTTTCCATATCTCTATCCTATTGGGATTTGGGGCATGCAGGTGCACATATGCCTGGCATGTTTTTCAAGCTGCCAGGCTAAGATTCAAACCTATTCAGTTCCCTTAATCACTGGGCCACAGGGCCAGCCCCTTCTTGATAATTCCTAGGGGTAGATTCAGAGAATTTCTGTTTCTGTCCATAAAGCAGCTTTGAACCTTGCTTCAGTGTTTTATCTTTCTATTTATTTGTTTATTTACTTATTGGTACCTCATCTAATTTCAAGGATTTGGGGTGGTTTATAGCAAGGACATATATAAAACAAAAGAAATGTTTAAGTCAGAGAGATCAGAAACCATAAGGATGGAGTAGGGAGACTATATATCTACCTTCCTATCTATCTACCTACATACTTACCCACCTGTCATCTCTCTTTCAAGGGGAAGAGAAAGAGAGAAAGTGAGAAAGCAAGCCACCAAGTCCGGGACTCAGACCGTGGTCGGTCATGTGGGAGTCCAGTACCCTTAACCACCACGTCACCTGCTGGCCCCTTATTTATTTTTTGAAGAAAGATTTTTTGCTAAAGAGTGTGTGCACTCATCAAGAGATAGAGAGACTGAGAGACAGAAAGTGAGAAATCAACCCTAGGGGCATGGCCATGCTGCAGTCCCTTCTTCTCCATTCCTCCCTCAGGATTTTGGGTATGCACGCACGTGTGCCTGGCATGAGGTTGAAGCTGTCGGGTCCAGGACTTGAATCACATTTGACAATGTGGGAGTCCAGCGATGTAACCATTACACCATCTGTTGGTCCTTCTTTTGCATATTTAAAAATTTTATCTTTTGGTGGATAATACAGTTGTAGTTAAAATTTGAAAGGTGCAAAGGATATGGAGCGAAGAGTTTAATTACAACTATGATCCTACCATCCACCTGCTTTTTTGCTCTAGAGACAACCAGTGTTACCAATTTCTTTGTGTCCTTTTAGAAATTTTATGTACAAACAAACTATATATATATTTTTTTCTTATCCCCCTTTCTTGTGTAAATAGCACAACATGCATATTGTTGTGCACATTTTCTAAAATTTGAAAGTATGGTTATTCCATATCACTACCTGAAAAGCTTCCTTAGTCACATGTGTGGCTTATTTATTGCTCATAGTATTCCAGTTTATCTAATCAGTCCCATATGGGACTTCTAGTCTGTTGCCAATCTTGTGCTACTTCAGACAATGCCTTGATCAAAAGCCTGTGCACAATTTATTTCTTGTGCATATGAGTATATTCTTATTGCACCTTATCAGGAGGCACATATGGTCTAATTGTTTCCTTTTTTTTTTTTTTTTATTTTGCATGGTGTTAAGCTTGATCAGTGGGTTTGAGTGTGGTCATCATGGTCCATTGTTTCTAGAGCTCTCTAGGAGTATCTTTATGCTTTCCCCACCCTTTTAGCTGTTTTTTGTTTTGTTTTTTTTTTTCATTTTTCATTTCCATTTTAGTTTTTGTTTTGGAGAGTTTTTTTTTTTTTTTTTTTTTTTTTTTTTTGTTGTTGTTGTTTTTTGTTTGTTTGTTTTTTGCTATAGGGTGCATGTGCTTGCCAGAAAGACAGAGAGACAAAAAGTGAGAAATCACCCCCCAGGGGGGATGACCACTCCGCAATCCTTTCTCCTCCATTCTCCTCTCAGGATCTTGGGCACGTATGCACATGCGCCCGGTGTGAATTTAAGCCACCGGGTCCGGGACTCGAACCGTGGTCGGCTATGTGGGAGTTCAGTGACATAGCCATTACGCTAACTGCTGGTCCCTCCATTTTAATTTTTTAAATGAGAGTGCATGGGAGACAGAGAAAGAAATTAGGTAATTTTTAAGGGGTCTTGCCACTGCCTCTCCCAGTTAGCTTTGACCGCACGCATGCATCACTGTGCCTGTCCTGTTTAGGTTGGGTCAGGAACCAAACCTGATCCTCCACGTAGCCTCAGTCACCAAGTAGCAGCGTCCCTCTCTGTGCCACCACAGCTGGGCCTTTTGCCTAAGTTTTAACAGCCACTGGTGATCATTATCTAGATCTGTTATTCTATCACGGGTTATAAAATGAGAATATTCTAATTTTGTCATTCCTTCTTCATTAATTAGTTGGAATTTTTCTGAAAAAACTTTGCTTTGTCAGCTATGGTTGAATGTGTAGCTGAATTCATAATAATTTCCTTAGGATGGGCTCTTAGAAATGGAATTGCCTGAGCAAAGTGTTTGTACTTTCAAAAGCTTTGGATAAATACTGCCAGATTGCTCTTAAAATGTGATTATCAGTGTATACCCCCACTGTTATGTGAGGGAAATGCTGTTCATTATTTGTAAAACTAATGAAGAGAGGTGGGCCTTGAGAGAGAGGCCAGTGTACTGTCTTTGTCGATTAGAACTGTCATCTCTTAGCTTTTTCTATCAGAGCTAATAAATGGTGTTGGATACATGTGGTATGACATTGGAAATACTTTCCTGTGGTTTTCAATTTGTGCCCACTGAACATTTTATTTAATTTTGAAATCAGAAAGACAGATAATATTGTTAGGAAAAAACACAACTTCGTTTTTGTAGTTTTTGACTGTGTCTGTTAATCGTGTTTCCAGATATAGTAGGCCTCTTACCTTAAACAGTTTTAAAAATCTGATTTTTTTTTTCTTTTACAGTGACATATCTGGGGGCAAACCACTGGAAGTAGAGATGGCAGGAATTGAATACATGAATGATGATCCTGGTATGGTGGATGTTCTTTATGCCAAAGTCCATATGAAAGATGGCTCCAATAGGTATATTTCTTTGTTTCAATGGAAACTTTTTTGTTTCAACTGAGAAGTGCTGAAAAGCATTCCTGGAAATGCAGTTCATTCTGATTTATTTTCTTTGGGATTTTGTTATTGAAAAGAATATGTCTACCTTTTTAAAATATAGTGATCTCTTACCTTGAAACAGAAATTTATTGTAGGAAAATTATGGAACTTTTAGTCTGATAACTGTTGAGTTACTTGGTTAGTGTGCATTGATAGCAACAATCTAGTTTTTGTATAACCTGGTGCTTCCTTTGTGTTTTCCAGGAAAATAAAAGGTAAGAGGAAGAGCATTTTTAGGATGGGAATTTCAGTATAGCATAGTGCAGTTGTAGAAGCTATACCAGGACAAATGTGAATTAAAACTTTATCAATTTCATAGGATTATTAAGATTAATCTATATAAAATGCTCAGAACAGTGTTTGACACATACTAACCTCATGACAACATGTCTGTTTTTATTATTACCATACTTAAGGATTCTCAGTCTACAGTCCAAGCTACTTCTGAGGCTGGTCTAGTCATCCAGAGTCATTTCCTATGTTAATGCCATTTATTAGTTAACCCAAGGCCTAAGGTGAGCAGAGACACCCAACTTGAATTAGAGTTTTGTTTTTGTGTGGTCTTGCTATTTAGGGCAGGGTAGAACAGAGCTCACACTCAACCAGAAACCCTATAGAGAAAGTCTAGGTCTTTAGTCAGGTTCCCAAATGTATTTACTTTCCCATAGAATCCTTATTAATATAAAGTTTCTCTTACCTTTATTTGAAATGATAATCTCAATTATCTCTTATTTCAATTCACTTGGATGTGAATTTTGAGAGGATAGAAGGAAAAACGATATAGCCTCTATTTTTTTTTTTTGGAGAGGTTTTTGCTATAGGGTGCGTGTGCTCGCCAGACAGACAGAGAGAGACAGAGAGATAGAAAGCGAGAAATCACTCCCCAGGGGGGATGGCCACGCTGCAATCCCTTCTCCTCCATTCTCCTCTCGGGATCTTGGGCATGCATGCACATGCGCCCGGCATGAGTTTTAAGCCACCGGGTCCGGGACGTGAACCACGGTCAACTACGTGGGAGTCCAGCGACATAGCCATTCCGCTAATTGCTGGTCCCAAGCCTCTATTTATTATATATTCTGTGCCAGCTTTTTCTTTTCCTAAATACCTGGTATGCCCAAAGAACATAATGACCCTACTTTAAAAAACAAAATATTGGGCCAGCAGGTGGCGTGGTTAAGGCAGGGTACTGGATTCCACGTGGCCTGCTCTGTGACTGGAATCCTGGACCGGGGGGCTTGAAAAATGTGCCAGGTGCATGTGTGTGAATGCCCAATATCCCAAGAGGAGAAGGGATTGAAGTGTGGTCACACCTCAGGGGTCTGATTTATTATTTTCTCTCTCTCACTTTGACTCCATTGAGTGCATGTGCCCTTTAGCCAAAAAAAAGGAAGAAAGAAATTGAAGTGAAAACTTTGACAACCATGCATAATTTTTTTGTAATATGCATTGTTTGTGAACTTTTTGAAGAACCCTTGCATTTTGCAGTCATTGGTAGGTCAAGCAGATAGAAGATCAATAAATATAACGAACATTTTAGCAACTGAAAGCTTAACTTAATAGTCAACTCTGGAATTATACAGTCAACAATTACAAAATTCACATTCTTGGGACCAGCAGGTAGTGTGGTGATTAAGGCGCTGGACTGCCACATGGCCAACTGCAGTTCAACTGCTGGGTACACATGCGTGCGTGCACAAAATCCCAAGAGTAAAATGGAGGAGAAGGGATTACATCATGGCCATCCTCTCTAGGGGGGCAATTTCTCACTTTCCCTGTCTCTGTCTCTTTATGGAAAGTACACATATCCTGTGGCAAAAACCTAAAAAAAAAAAAGAAAGAACATTTGCATGGTTGGGGCAGCTTAGTACTTCAGCAATACTCTGCTTAAGAAAAGCCAGATCCCACATGGTGGTCACAGTTCAAATCCCCAATCCAGTGATTCTGTAACACACCAGACATGCATGAGTGCTGAGGATCAGATCCAACAAACTGGAAGACTTGAGGAAGCAGATCACAGCATGACTGGACCTTGTGGAGGGTGCTCATCTCACGTCTCTCTTTTTCTCTCTCATGTGTGTATGCACGTGCTCTATCATGAATATTAGGAAAAACGTATATTCTTTTCAAGCACACGAATAGTTGAAAAAATTGATTACATACTAGATCATAAAATAAGTTTTAATAAATTTCTTTTTTTTTAAGTTAATTTTTTCCATGAGCAAGAGAGAAATACAGAGAGATAGTACCTACAACAAGTTCATGATTGACCCCCCAGCCTCAGCCAGACCAAGGTCATGGACGTGTGTATACCTGGTATATTCAGGAGGTTTCTAGATACAAACCTAGAACTCTCCCATGTGGGTAAGCCTTGCATAGCTTCACTTTTAAATCTGCACCACCAGATGGCCTCAATGAGTTGGAATATTATAAATCATATTTTCTGACTAGAGAGAACACCAAGTTTCCTACAAATACTGCGCTATTAGAAATAATGAGTGTAGAGGCTGGTAGGTGGCATGGTAGTTGAGGCGCTGGACTCCACATGGCTGACCATGGTTCGTGTCCCAAACCAGGCAGCTTGCTTTCTCACTCTCCCCTTTTCTCTGTCTGTCTCTGGTCAAAATTGATGAATAATGATAATAAATAAAATTAAAAATAAATCTTTAAAAAAAAAAAGAAATAATGAGTTTAGACTGACTATAACATGGCCTGGTAGCTAAGGGCTATGCATAGGGAGCCAGATGCCCACATGTCTTACCGTGGTCTGAATCAGTTGCTTTCCTTTTACTTTTTTTTTTTTTTTTAAGAGAGATTTTTGCTATAGGGCACATGTGCTCATCGGAGAGACAGAGAGGCAGAAAGCAAGAAATCACTCCCCAGTGGGGGACGGCTATGCAGCAATCCCTTCTCCTCCATTCTCCTCTTGGGATTTTGAGCACGCACACATATGTGCCTGACGGGAGTTTTAAGCTGCCTGGTCTGGGACTTGAACCGTCATAGACTACACAGGAGTCGAGCGACATAACTGCTATGCCATCTGCTGGTCCCCCAAACAGTTGCTTTTCTATACATCACTAATAGAAAACATTTAAAAATCCAATTTATAGTAGCAACAAAAATTATAATGAAGAATGAATATGGGGATCCAACAAGTAGCATGGTGGTTAGGGTGCTGGATTCTCACATGGTTGACTAGTTTGAGTCATGGACCCGGTGGCTTACTGTCTCACTTTCTCTCTGTCTCTCTGTCTCTATGGTGAGCATGTCCTGTAGCAAGTTAAAAAAGAAAAAAAAAAGTATAAATAAAATTAAATAAATAATTTTAAAAACAGAGAGCCACTTCTCTATTTCTAAAAAAGAATTAGTTTATTTAACTTTATTTATTTACTTATTTATTTTAATTTGACCAGATTGAGATACACAGACAGAGAGAGAAAGTGAGAAAGCAAGCCGCTGAGTCCGGGACTTCACCCATGATAGGCCATGTGGGAGTCAAGTACCCTTAACCACCACACCTGACCTGCTGGCCCCCAAGACTTTTTTTTGCATGAAATTATAAACTAAATAGAGAGACTGCCCATGTTCAAACATAGAGTCTCTTTTATAAAGACTTCAGTTTTCTTCAGTGGTCTTCAAAAAACTCACAGGAAATGCAAATCATGAAAAAAAGTGTGGATTTCAAAATGTTTTTTGCACCAAAATAAATTAGTACTTTAATTTTCCACAAGCTGTTTTTGAAATGTCTCCTTATATACAGATTTAAAACAACTATATACTGTACGTGTAACTGAAATGAGTCAGGAACAGGAGGAGGAGGTATTTAAAAGCCATCACAATAGTTCAGGTGAGAAGCAAAGAAAGCCTAAATTAGAACAGTAGTGATAATAAGAATTGATACATAGATGCAAGAATAGTTAAATCTGCTGGATTTGACAGATTTCTGAAAAGTTGAGGGTAGGAGTAAGGTGATTATGATCCATCATGACTAAGCTGGTTGAATTCAGGAATGCAAAGATGAATTAGGGTCAGGAAATCTACTGATATCCTTCCTATTCAGTAGGTCAAATTAAAAAATAATATCTAAAAACATGCCTGAAAGGCTTTTGATAAAATTCAATCCTTTTTTATTAGAAACATTCAGAAAAGAGAAATAGAAAGATATTGCCTAATATGATAACTATCTATTTTAAAGCAATCATATTGAATGATGATATACTGGACTTATTCCTATTACAATTAGAAATAAAACAATGGTGGGACCAGCAGTTAGTGTAATGGCTATGTCGCTAGACTCCCACGTAGTTGACCGCAGTTCGAGTTCCGGACCTGGTGGCTTAAACTCACGCCAGGTGTGTGTGCATGCGTGCCCAAGATCCCGAGAGGAGAATGGAGGAGAAGTGGTGATTTCTCGCTTTCTATCTCTCTGTCTCTGTCTGGCGAGCGCACGCGCCCTATAGCAAAAATCTCTCCAAAAAAAGAAAAAAAAAAAGAAAGAAAACAATGGTGTCTACACTTACTATTAATATTAAATACACTTCCTAACCTATAAAAAAGACATTGAGGGCCCAGCAGGTGGTGATTAAGATGCTGGACTCCCACATGGCCAACCATAGTTTGAGTTCTGGATCTGCTGGCTTGAAAATCATGTCTCTGTGTGTGTTTGTCCAAAATCCCGAGAGAAGAATGGAGGAGGAGAAATTGCAGCATGGCCGTTCCCCCAGGCAGGGTGACTTCTTACTTTTCCTCTCTCTGACTTTTACTGTCTCTCTCCAGCAAGTGCGCATGCCCTATTGCAGAAACCTAAAAAAGGGGGAAAAAAGAGACAATTAAAGAAGAGAAAATTGTTTATTTTTATTTTATTTTTTTCAGATAACAGTGTAATTAATACAATAAAAAAAACTTTAAAACTGATAAGAGATCAGTAAAAGTACTAACAAGTGGCTGGACAAAAGTAAATACTTAACAGTAACTAGTGCTTACAAAGTACCAGGTATTATATTAACCACCATAAAGGATACAAAACACTAGTAAAGTGACCTTTACCTAGAGCTTAAATCTATTTAAGTGTCTATTTTAAAAGAAGGCTAAATAGATGTTTGATAAGTGACACAAGAAGATTACTGTTAGTAAAAGTATAAATCAGTGCAAGCTTTCTAGAAAGCAAGTTGGCACTTGATTCCAAGAGTTTTTTTTTTTTTTTTATTCTTCTTAAACTTGCTTACCTTCTTCCCAACCCCTCAGGAATTTATCCACTTAAATTATTCATGTGGATAAATATCTATATGTGAAGATATCCATTACAGTATTGTGTATAACAAGAAGTACTGGCAACAATCTAAGTTCTCGTTGTCATCAGATGGAAAATAAACTATAGAACATCTAGTGACTAGTGAATACTGTAGATTGACTAAAAATTGTGTCTTGTGGGGCCAGCAGTTAGAATGGTGCTTAGGGCATTGGAATGGTGGTTTAAGTCCTGGACCTTGTGACTTGAAAATCACACTGGGAGTGGGTTGTGTGCATGCCCAAGATCCCAAGAGGAGAATGTAAGAGAAAGAAGGGGTTGCAGCATGTCCCCCCCCCCCCCGGGGGGTGTGATTTCTCACTTTCTCTTTCTCTGTCTCTCCCTGGTGAACCATGTACCCTATGATTAGAAACCTATATATATATATGTATATACACGTTTGTGTGTGTGTATATGTGTGTATATATATGTGTATATACACACACACACACACACATATATGCACCTTGGAAAAATTGTTTAGAGTATTACATGATAAAGGCAGATTAAAAAACAGTTTATAAATATATATTTACTTTCCCCCCTCAAAAGTGGGAAGAGAGTGGGGCCAGCAGGTGATATGGTAGTTAAGGGTGCTGGACTCCTACCCGGTGGCCTAAAACTCACACTGGGTGTGTGTGCATGTGTGCCCAAAATCCTGAGAGATGACTGGAGAGAAGGGATTGCGGCGTGGCCATCTCCCTGGGGGGTGATTTCTTTCTTTTTGTTTCACTGTCTCTCTGGTGAGCACATATGCCCTCTAGCAGAAATCTCTTGCTCTCAAAAAACAAAACAAAACAAAACAAAACAAACAACAACTATGATTGCTTAGTTTTTTGCTTTTTTCTGTATTTATTTTATGCTGACTTTATTCCTGTGCCCTAAGTTTTTGTTTCTTCAGTTTCTTCTGGGATATCTTTTTCTTCCGTGTAACTCCCTCTTCTGGTTTAGGAACAGTTTGTTCCTTTTCACTGAGGGTTGTCTCTGTGTGGCAGGGGGAGCTCATGTATGGGTCACTCTGCCCATGGGCTCTGCACATTAAATGGCGCATCTTGGGGGCTGTCTTCCCCTGAATGTGCTCAGTGACAGAGAGTCTATATCTAACTCCTTAAGTTCAGCATTACTCTCTGCATTGCAAAAATTCAGTACATTTTTGGGCCACCAACCTAGTGTCTAGCCTCCCTATTTGGCCTGGGCACATCTACCAACTCTACCGTTGTTAATGACAGAATGGCACACACTGCTTTTGTAAAGTGACATCCTTCAGATACTTGGTGGCTTTTTGGATGTTCATACCCTTGACTGGGCAGTTTCATGGGTGTTCTTAAAGTGAACACAGAGATTTGAGCCTCTTGATTTGCATGACTGGGTTTTGCTGGGTCAAGTGACTAGCAAAAAAAATTTTTTTTAATAAAGAATTATTTTATTTAATTTCATTTATTTTTTTAATTTGACCAGAGAGGGACAGAGTGAGAGAGAGAGAGGGAAAGTGAGAAAGCAAGGCATCAGATCCAGGACTCCAACTACAGCCTGCCATGTGGGAGTCTAGTGCCCTTAACCACTGTGCCACCTGCCGGCCCTAGCGAACCATTCTTAAAGATCTCCTTGAGGGAACCAGCAGTTAGCATAATGGCTATGTCGCTGGACTCCCATGTAGTTGACCACGGTTTGCGTCCTGGACCCGGTGGCTTAAAACTCACGCTGGGCGTGTGTGCGTGCATGACCAAGATCCCGAGAGGAGAATGGAGGAGAAGTGATTGCGGCGTGACCATCCCCCCTGGGGGGTGATTTCTCGCTTTCTGTCTCTATGTCTCCCTCTGTCTGTCTGACAAGCGCACATGCCCTGTAGCGAAAACCTCTCCAAAAAAAAAAAAATTAACTAAAAAAAGATCACCTCAAGCTGCTTATTGTTTACAAAAAGAGCAGTTTTTTTTTATTATTTCTAGTGACTAGTGCTTGCTATTCAGTAAGCACTCAGGAAATTTTCATTGACCAGCTGAATTAAATTGGGAGGGGCAAACAAGAACCTGGAGTTTGTACTTTCTAGGGAGTGATCATTCTGCAGTACAAATTCCATATCTGTAAAGATGACTCTAGACTACTTGAACTTTGAAGCACTTATGGGCTTTTAAAACTAAGAGCATGGATTTACTGCGTTAATAACTGGCTTCTGTTTCAAGCCCAAAGTATTATCTAAAGCTGCTTAAGAATGTTTTTTTTTTTCATAGTAACCCTGTATTATTTTAAATTTGCTTATGAGGAAGTATAGAGATGCTCTGTGATTCATGCGTGGTCAAACCAGAAGGATCAATGAAATAAGAATAAGAAGAATATGCGGGGGTTGGCAGGTGGTGTGGTAGTTATGGTACTGGATTCCCGCATGGCCGAATCTTTTATCTTTCTCTCTCTGGTCAGTTAAAAAAAAATAATGATAATAATAATAAATACAATTAAATAATTATTTGAAAAAAAAATACTATTCTGTTTTTGTTTTTGCTGTTGTTTATTTATTTTTTTTAGTTTTTTGCCATAGTGTGTGTGTGCTCATTGGCAGACAGAGAGAGGGAAAGTGAGAAATCATGCCCAGGGAGGATGGCCACACTGCAATCTGTTCTTTTCCATTCTCCTCATGGGATTTTGGGTATGCGTGCACACGTGCCCAGTGTGATTTTTCAAGCATCCTGGTCCCAAGAATATGCTGTTTGGAATAGTGACATATATTAGGACCGGGTGGTGGTAACACAACTAGACCCATACCGGGACCTCCCTGAGCATTCCAGGCACTCCTGTGTCTGCCTGTGATCTGGGCCAGCTGAGACTGAGGGTAGAGCACAGTGTAAAGATTCTTTTGTCTCTTACGGAAGAAGTGTTTTTATAGATTTTGCCATAGGGCATGTGCACTTACCAGAGAGAGAGAGACAGAAAGTGAGAAATCATTCTCCAGGGGAAATTGCCACACTGTAGTCCCCTCTCTTCTGTTCCCTCTTGGAATTTTATGCACACATGCACATGTGCCCAGCGTGTTTCAAGCTATTGGGTCCAGGAGGCGAACTGTGGACCATGAGTCCAGCAACTTAACTACTGTGACATCTGCTGGCTTCAGAAGAAATAATTTAATAAGAAATAATTTAAAGATAGAAATAGTGACATTTTGTCAAATATAATACCTATGACATCAGTCTGAAATTTAGTGATTATGCCCAAGTACTCTTTAAGTTCTCTTACTAGTACTCTGTAATAAATACCTGCTATCTATAAATACATACAGCCATTCAACAACTGTTTATTGAACAGTTAATTAATGTTTCATTTCGGCATTAATTTAGGTGTGGGCATTAAGCAGTGAGTAAAACACAGAGCCAGCCTTCATGGAGCACATGGTGAATTGGTGACAGAGCAGAGCCAGCTGCCAGGAAACTTGGATTCTGATTCTTCTCACTGATTTTGAGCAACTCACCCTGTCTGTGCATTACTTATTCCTGTGGAAAAAGAACAAGTTAGACAAAACAAGAACTTTTATTTATTTATTTTTAATTGCATGTGCATGCAATTAAAATTTTTAGGTGCATGTGCATGTGGGGATAAAGGGGAGGGCAGGAGAACCCTCACAGGGTGTGGTCACACCATAATTCTTTTCCTCCATTTTTCCTTCTCATTATGATTTTGGGGACGCATGCACGTATGCCTGGCATGTTTTTCAAGCTTCCAGGCCAGGATTTATTTACTTATTTATTTATTTATTTTTATTTATTTTTATTATTTTTTTTAATTTGACCAGATGCAGGCAAAAAGAGAAAGCAAGCTACTAGGTTTGGGACTCAAACCATGGTGAGCCATGTTGGAGTCCAGTGTCTTAGCAACTACGCCCCAAGGGGCCAGGATTCTGTAGTTGGTCACGTAGGATTTAGCTTCCCCTGCATTTTTTTTTTTTTTGAGAGTTTTGCTGTAAGCGTGTGTACTTGCTGGAGAGACAGAGGTACAGAAAGTGAGAAATAACCCCCGCAGGGGAATAGCCACTCCAGAATCCCTTTTCCTCCATTCTCCTCTCAGGATTTTGGGCACAGACGCACATGCACCTGGCTTGAGTTTCAAGCCTCCAGGTCTGGGACTTGACCCCAGTTGCTACTACTAGCACCCTAACCACTATGCCATCTGCTGGTCCCTAGGATTTAGCTACCTTTTTTCTTAACTTTTTTATAGTGTTGCACTATACTGATTATTTCTTTTTTCCCTCCCTTTCAGCCTCTTTGAGGTCTTGCTGCCTTTTTCTCATCCGTTGTCTTTGCCAGTTTCTTCTCTATGGGACTTTGTCCTCAGCTCTCTTCTTGGCTTCCTCTGAATTCCTCCTACCCGCTGTCTGCATCTATACCATGCTTTTAACTACTGTTTTGCACTGTCTTTGTATCATTTGCCTGGGTTTTTCTCTCCATGGACATGTCCTACTTGATTCCCTGTGCCATATGGGCTGACTCATACGCAGAATTAACCATTTCACCAAAAGTACACACCCTGACAATAAGTAGTTGCTTCTTCACGGTTCCTCACTGTGGTTAATGAATCACCTGGTTATCTGAGCAACTCTTGGAAGCCATTCTCCACTTCTTCCTCTCCCTCCGTGCTGCCGTAGCTGAATGAGCACCAACTTATTTTTTTATTTTTATTATTTTTATTTTTTTATTTTTTTATTTTTGGAGAGATTTTCACTGTAGGGCGCGTGCGCTTGCCAGACAGACAGAGAGAGACATAGAGACAGAAAGCGAGAAATCACCCCCCAGGGGGGATGGTCACGCCGCAATCCCTTCTCCTCCATTCTCCTCTCAGGATCTTGGGCACGCACGCACACGCACCCGGCGTGAGTTTTAAGCCACCGGGTCCAGGACACGAACCGCGGTCGACTACGTGGGAGTCCAGCGACATAGCCATTACGCTAACTGCTGGTTCCCAATGAGCACCAACTTCTCACATAGCACTTAGTCTCTTTTTGGAGAGGCCTTTGCTATGGCGAGGACTACATTTTCAGAGAGAGACAGAGAGACAGAAAGCGAGAAATCACCCCCCATGGGGGATGGCCACGCCGCAATCCCTTCTCCTCCATTCTCCTCTCAGGGTCCTGGGCACGCACGCACACGCGCCTGGCATGAGTTTTAAGCCACCAGGTCCAGGAAGTGAAACGCGGTCGACTACGTGGGAGTCCAGCGACATAGCCATTACGCTAACTGCTGGTTCCCTCACATTAGCACTTTTGAACTCCTTCTCTAGTCTCTCTTCTCACTGCCCCTGCCAGGGTTTAGGCCTACATTTTTTTTCTCCTTTTTAGTGTAGTCTTTAAGACTGTGGACTCTGCAGCCAGACTACATGTGTTGGGATCTACCACTTACTAGTTATATGACCTTGGTCAGGTTTTAGAACTTCTCTGTTGCCTTAGTTTCTTTGTTGCTAAATAGGGATCATAATTTGTCATAAGGATTAAATGATTTACGATATAAAGTACTTAGAACAGTGCCTGACACATGGTGTTTGTCATTATTTTGACTATTGCAGTCGCTGCCTGGCTGACCTCTGTACTGCTGGTCTCTTCCTCTTCTAAAACAGTTTCTACCCTGCTACAGAGTCAGCTTTCAAAAATGGATATTGGACCACATTGTCCCCTTTTAAAAGTCTTTTGGTGGCTTCTCACCACTACTTACATATCCAGTTTATTTCCACTGTCCTGTTCTAGCCGAATTAAATACTTGGCAGTTTTCCACGTATACTGTGATCTTGCATACATTGCCATCTTTGCACATGCTGTTTCTTCTGCTTCAAGTGCCCCCTTCTTTTTCTGATTTTATCTATGAATCTTATTTATTTATTTATTTTTTGAGAGATTTTTGTCTATAGAGCTCATGCATTTGCTGGAGAAACAGAGACAGAAAACGAGACAGCCACACTGCAACCCCTTCACCTCCACTCTTCTTTTGGGGTTTTGGCATGGATGGACACATACCCAGTGTGAGTTTTAAGCTGCCGGGTCCGGGATTCAAACGGTGGTCGACCATGTGGGAGTCCAGCACCCTAACCACTATGCTACTTCCTTGGCCCTTATTTCTGCATCTTTAATAATCCTTCAAGACCATGTTTAAACCTCTTGTAGAAACCTAGCCATTGGGGTCTACAGGTGGCATAGTGGTTAAGGTGTTGGACTCTCATGTGGCTGATCATGATTCGAGTCCTGGACCTGGTGGCCTGCTTTCTCCCTTTCCTTTTCTCTCACTGGTCAAATTAAAAAGTAATAATAACAAATAAAATTAAATAAACAGTTCTTTAAAAAAAGAAAGAAAGAAAGAAGAAACCTAGACTTCTCCATGATAGTTGATTACTCCCTTAACACTCACCATAATGTATTGTTATTTATTCCATGTCTGTCTTCTTGACAAGACAGTGAGCCCCATAATGGTAAGAGCTGCAGCCTCTTCTTTTTCTTTTTTATTTGCCTGTGAGCATGTATGCTTGCCAGAGAGAGACAGAGGGAGAAGGAGAAAGCATCCCCTGGTGGGATGTGGTCACACCACAATCCCTTCTTCCATTTCTCCACCCCATTGGGATTTTGGGCATGCACACACATCCATTGTGCTTTTTCACACCACTGGGACTGAGATTTGAACCGCATAACTGGCCTTCTGAGATCTGGCTCCCTCCCATGGGGCTGGCTTACCTCTTTTTTTGGGGGGGTGCAGAGTTTGTTCAGTGGTTGGCATGGTACAGATGCTCCCAACACATTGTTGAATTAGTAATCAGGAGTTCAGGAGTTTGCTAAGATTTCTATACTTTTTTCTTCAATTTCTTTAGGCTTCAAGAATTAGTTGATCGTGTGCTGGAACGTTTTCAGGCATCTGGACTAATAGTGAAAGAGTGGAATAGTGTGAAACTGCATGCTACAGTCATGAATACACTATTCAGGAAAGATCCTAATGGTGAGTTCTCCATTAAATGTAATGCAGTGGGGGTCAGTAGGTGGCTGGTGATTAAGGCACTGGACTCCCATATTGCTGACTGTGGTTTGAGTCTCAGACCTGGTGGCTTGCTTTCTTACTTTCTCTCTCTGTCTCTCTCTGGTGAGTGCATGTGCCCTATAGCAAATTTAATGATAAGAACAATAAATAAAATAATTTTTTAAAAAATTAAAAAAGAACTCTAGTGCAGTATGTGATCACCAAGGCCTTGTGTTTAAATAGAATGGTCTATCAAAGAATCCCTGAAGTAATTTGTTCAGAGCTCTTAGCTTGCGTATTTGGAGAGTGTAGTATAAGTGGGTTTCTGACTCAAGGCTATAGCTTCTTGTTATTTTATTTCTGTTATTTCTTTCACACATAGAGTTGCTGTATTTAGCAAATAAAATTACAGGATGCCCAGGTTAATTTTAGATAAGCCATGAATAGATATTTTTTAATCATAGAGAACACATACCTATGCACAAAAGGAAACAGAGACAAAAAGAGAGAAGAGAAAACACTCTCTGCATGATCTTGTCACGCTGTGATCCCCTTTCCCTGGCCCCTTAGCTCCTCAGGATCTAAGGCTTGCACCTGATGTGTTTTCATGCCTGCCCGTGGGTCTGAACCCGTAGTTGGCCATGTGGCTTCCAGCACCTTAGCTCAGCACACATGTGGACTGTGTCCTGTAGGCTGGGCCATGAATAATTTGTAATTGTAAGTATGTCCCAATACAATACTTGGTGAGTTTTTTTGAAGAGAAGAAAAAGGAAAAGAAGGTTAGTTAGTAAAAGTAAATGTTAGACCAGCGGTTCTTAACTAGGGGTGATTTTGCCTCCCTGAGGACATTTTGGATTGTCTGGAGACGTTTTTGGTTGTCACAGTGAGGGGACTGGGATTGGATTGTTAGCAGCATCTAGAGGGTTCAGGCGTTTGAAAGGGATATTAACACTCTACAGTGCACAGAATGACCCTTGTAACAAAGAATTATTCAGCCCAAAATGTCAACAGCACCAAGGGTGAGAACCCTGTGTCAGAGAAATGCTTTTTCCTTGTGGAATCTGAGCCTTCATGTAAGAATGCTTTGTTTTAATCCTTGATTTGGCATAATGATTTCTTTCAGAACATTCTTCCTTTCTTCCCATGCCCATCCTCAAAGCGAAAACTTCTTTAGCACATTCAGCATCTTATCACGAGCCATAAATTCAAACCATATGCAACTTTTCTTCTAAGACATGTTGCTTAAAACATACCAAAATCCCATATTTGGGTTTTATTTTCTTTCTTAGGACCTTGACTTTTCCTTTTTTTTAAGAATTATTTTACTTCCTTCCTTCCTTTATCCCATCCTTCCTTTCTCCCTTCCTTCCTTCCTTCCTTCCTTCCTTCCTTCCTTCCTTCCTTCCTTCCTTCCTTCCTTCCTTCCTTCCTTCCTTCCTTCCTTCCTTCCTTCCTTTCTTTCTTCCTTCTTTTCTCTTTCCTTCCTTCCTTCTTTCCTTCCTCTCTTTCTCTCTCTATCTCCCTCTCTCTCTTTCTTACCAGAGAAGGACAGGGTGAGAGAGAGAGAAGGAAAGTGAGAAAGCAAGCCACCAAGTCTGGGACTCGAACTATGGTCAGCTATATGGGAGTCTAGTGCCCTTAAGCACCACACCACCTGCCGGCCCCTTGGCCTTGGTTTTAGAAAAATCCAAATTAAAAGAGGACTCCATTAACACTTAAACCAGAACCAGTAATGGTTATGTTACTGGACTCCTACTTAGTCGATCGTGGTTCGAGTCCTGGACCTGGCAGCTTAAAACTCACGCCAGGCACATGTGCGTGCATGTCCAAAATTCTGAGAGGGGAATGGAGGAGAAGGGATTGCGGCATGGTCATCCTCCTGGGTTATAATTTCTTGCTTTCTGTCTCTCTG